TTTTTTTTTTTTTTTTTTTTTAATTACACGGCTCGTTGGTTGAATTAGCCGTGATTTCTCTGTTCAAAGTTTAGCTTGTTGTCAATTCTACGTACACATTCTTCTGCTTCGTTTTGCTCATATATATGTACAGGCTTGTTGATTAAACGTGTCACTAATTGAGCTATCAGTCATTGTGATATCGGAGTTATATTTAGCTAGATAGGATTCTTTTTTAAAACTCGTAAACCTTCTTTAGCATCCTGCTTCTTCCCTCCAAAAATATCGAGATCCTTCTAATTAAACGTGTTGTCGATCGATTGCATTTCTTCTTTCGCCAATCGAAATACAAGGGTGCTTGTTCGTTTGACCGCAGTCCTCCATTCAAACTCGAGTTTATCACTTGAATCACGCGTTTCTGCGACAGTTTAAAGGACTCGATTGCAAAGGTATCTCGTCGTAAACGTGTTCCGTGTTTAGATCGAAGTCGTTTTGCAGATGGATTCGCGTTGCTGGCGGTCGATCGTAATGATCCTCTTGGAAAAGACCTGGGAAACATAAAGTAAAAAGAAAAAAAAAAAAGGAAAATACTATAAAAATATAGGAATTAGTGGTATGATGGATAGATTCTAGAAAAAGAAGGGATACGTGTACGTGAATAAATCTTCGCGAAAGGAAGGTGCGAAGATGATTAATGATAGGAATATTGGCACATGTGTTTACCATGCAGATTTCCAGATATACGTAGACCAATCGTGGCAGCTCCATTGGCATAGTTGCTCGTCAGATCGTTGTTAGTCATGGATGGCATCACTCTGGGCTCCGGGGTGGAAGCAAACAGTGGCACCAATCGAATTGGCGTCTCTGTAATAGAATTAGATGTACGGTCAAATAGTTGAATTGTTACGAGATTTCTATTCGATTTAAATAGAAGCCTGATTATCGAGCAAATTTTCTCACGTGAAAGCATCCAGGGAAAAAATAATAATTCATGTCAATTTATTTTATAAATCCCATTTTATTAACCCTCCGCAAGCAATGAGAAATCAAAACTCTCCACTTTGATATATAATCGAAACAAACACTTGAGCAAAAGTAGAAATTCAAGAGTGAAGTTTGATATTGGACACGAACTTTCATTCTAGTTTCTTACTAGCAGTCCTAAATTCGTTTCAACTAATATTTCTATAATCGATCGTTGATAAATATTAGAACAGAGCTGTTCAAGAACATTATCGATTATCGATATTAAAGCCAAAACGACTCGATTCGCCATTTTGCCTTTCTCTACGAGAAGAATCCCCGAGTCTTTTGATAAAAAAAAAAAAAAAAAAAAAAAAAGAAAAAAGGAAAAACGTACGATATTACACCAGTGCGAGGGAAAAATCGAACGCAGCGGCCTTCGAGGGGGAAAAAAGGGAAAACGCGTTACCGGATAGCGTTCTAATTCCCTGCGAGTAATCCACGCTTGAAGTGTGGTTCAAGATGGTCATCGAGATAAGATTACGTGTGCGCGAAATCGAGGTCAAGGACAGACAGATTTCACCTGGCTGCGAGAAAGGAGGATTTCGCGAAACGCGTTTAGTACTCACGGGGCAGGTTACTGCTGACTATCGACGAGATCTTCGTCGTATTCGAGCCTTCTTGCTTCTTCGTCTTGCCTTCTTCGTATATCGAGAGCCTTGCTGCTTCCAACAACTTTGAACGCATGTGGAGGACCATCACCACTGCTACTGAGGTTAGGCCCAATGACACGATCGATGCTACCACGATTAGAGCAATGTCCAGGGAAATCGGGGCTGGCTGGATGTCTGCTCGAAGTTGTCATTATTATAAAAATATTTATATCTGCGTCATTATTGCACGATGAAATATATCGTGGGCAAATGTTCATGAACGCGAAATAGAAACAATGTTGATTGAAGATTTCTCTCAGTCATAAGAATATAAAGATTATTTTGTTTCAATATATTTTGTGGATTCTCTGCATGTTATGTGCATTACGTGTATTTGTAAAGTTCTTATAAATGTATTTTAAAGTCATTGTTATTATCAGTTTAGCAATGTTTAGAAAAATTTACTTATCTGCGTCGTTATTGATTGAATGAAACAGTCATATCGTGGGTAAATCTTCATGAAAGTGACTATAGAAATGGAAACAATTCATCGAGATTTGTTTCATCCACTACGTAATATAATGATTATTTACGATATATTTACGCATTACGTGTATTTATGACATCATGAAATCATAAATGTGATTTAGTGCTTAGTTTATAATAGAACAGTGCGAGTAGTCATGGTTAAATTAAAGTACAATGTTTATGATAGTGTTTGATCCATAGTGGATTGATTGTACAAAATGATTATGATTAAATCGAAGTGTTTATGAAATTATAATAACGTAGTGTTTGATTTATAACAGATTAATTGTACATATATTACCTTTGTGTATATTTTTGACGTAATCGGTTTTGGGTGGGCCGATGTCGTGCAGATTAGCGTTGTCATCGACGTGACTGACGAACGGATTTTTCATCGCGAATTTCCCTCGTTCCTTGTCCAGGTTCCTTCTTCGTTCCGGCACGGAAACCCAAACGATCACAGGCTTGGCGGTGCTCGAGTTTCCATCCTCGTGGGCCGGTGCCCTAATTTTCTTCTCAGCCGAGGTCGAGACGCTGGTAGTTTCCGGACTCGTTGTTCTGCCAGGATTATCCGGCGTGACAGGTGTTTCGCGCACATCTTCCAACAATTCACGAAACGAAACGACGATTATTACGTAAATTGCACAAGTCTGTTTGCCATGGGTTTCTTCTTGTCCAAAGTAAAAATATTTTGTTTGAACAATGAAAAATTTCATGTGTGTACGTGTTTAAACTCTCGCGACTCTCGGCCAACAGTTGCATCACGCACGAATAAATATCTCAGCATACACGAACACGACAGCTCGTCTCATTTCTAACTAGACAGATTTGAAAAGATGGGTGTATGCAGGGTGCATATAATATTTGAGAAACAATTACAGACGATTCTTAGACTTAAATATTTTAATGTTGTCTAATTGGATCCCATTTTTTTAAAATTTATATTCGTAAGTAAGAGTATGAATTTCTTTATGAATAATAATTTCTTTTAACATTAGAATTTATCTATTGACTTGAAGGTATAAAATTTGCAGATTTTACCAGTGAAATTCAAATGCAAAGAATATAAAAAAAAAAAAAATTGGTAATATAAAAACGAAGAACAAAAGCGTTCATTATATTTAAACGAAAGTAAACATCAAATTGCATCAAACTGAACAATTAAGAATTTCGGTGACTCTGGTGTTATTTAATTTTCGATTATCATTCGTTTGTTAAATGTTATTCCAATGGACCACTCCACTTCGAATATTTTATACATACACATTAAATGTGCACTCCACTTTAAACATTTATACATTTATGCATCTTTTAAATTCTTCGCCAACGTGTGAAGATTTTTATTTATTACCTGCCGTGCTGGTTTCTGTTGTTTCCCAACTCCGCGACGATTCTCTGTCCAGTTGAATGATCGTGAAATTCACGGTTACGCTGTTCTCCTCGTTCACGTTCCGAGAGTAGCTGGTGTTCTGCGCGGAAACAGTGTTGTCCAGATCGTCGTGGATGCATCGGCCAGTTTCCGGATGACATTCGCCGGTCGGATCCTTGCAGTCGCACGGAGAAGCGCATCCAGGTCCCCAGCGATCGCTCGGACACGGCTTATTGCATCTGAAGATGAAAACCGTGATTACGTGTCTGCTGCGTTATGCGTTAGAGCAGCACTTATTAGGCCATGTGTTCATTTCAATCAACAGGTTGCTCACAGTGTGCTTATGTGATTAGTAGGATGCGTAGAAATCAATAGAACTTGTTGAATCGACCGAGCTACGATGAGTCGTGATATTTCGTGGTTTTTTTTTTTTTTTTTTTTTTTAACTAGAGATCGTGGTTTTGAATATGCATCTAAAATACATGTTTGTGGAAGATGCACATATCTTTGTTATTACACGTATTTTTTGTATATATTATATAATATTGTATCCTTAGAATTTATATCTTTTTATGTGTTGTAGTACAATATAATGACTGCTGTTAATATTCGGACACTAAATGTTGAAACTGCTATAATTTTGTAGGAAGAAATTATTCGGTAATAAACTTGAGCTTGTTTCGCGCAGACGACAATGTGAAAACATTTTTCTTCTCGAAAATGCTGCAAATTATTAATGGTACGTAGGGATGTCGAAAAATCTTTGTTCATTGATTGAATCTACCATGGATTTGAAGATCGATGTCTTTCGTTTACTACAAACCTTTCAAAATTTGCTGTACGAGTTCTTGTCACCAATTTATTGAATTTTGAATATCAGGCGAAACCGAATATAATGAAAAAAATGATCTCTTGAATTTTCCAATCTAATCTAACCTTAATATTCAATAAAATGATAAAGAAGATCATATAAATTCAGTTATGAAAAACATTTTTCTACTCTAAGATTTCACATTTGAAGCCAGTTTCCTTTAACACTTCGAAATCGATAATTTTTTTTTCCATCTGACGATATACATTCGACGATGGCGAGTGGAACAGGATATAAATAAAATTTGAGTCGAATTAATACACGCCATTTTCAACAAAATGATGTGCATTTTGTAAAACGAGTTAAAATACAAAATTTTCAATTTCACGACTAATCTTGCATTGGACATTGAACTTCGATACATTAAAATACAGTTTTCCTGGAAAGCTAGAAATTCTAATTTACACTCGTTTGCTCGTTTATCGATGGTGTTTCTACAGATCAGATCTTACATTTGTCCGTGTAATCCCGGCGGACAAACACGCCATTTTCAACAAAATGATGTGCACTTTGTAAAACGAGTTGAAATACAAAATTACAATTACAATTTCACGACTAATCTTGCATTGGACATTGATACATTATAATATCGATACATTATAATATTGATACATTATAATATCGATACATTATAATACAGTTTTCCTGGAAAGCTAGAAATTCTAATTTACACTCGTTTGCTCGTCTATCGGTGGTGTTTCTACAGATCAGATCTTACATTTGTCCGTGTAATCCCGGCGGACAAACACGCCATTTTCAACAAAATGATGTGCACTTTGTAAAACGAGTTGAAATACAAAATTACAATTACAATTTCACGACTAATCTTGCATCGGACATTGAACTTCGATACATTATAATACAGTTTTCCTGGAAAGCTAGAAATTCTAATTTACACTCGTTTGCTCGTCTATCGATGGTGTTTCTATAAATCAGATCTTACATTTGTCCGTGTAATCCCGGCGGACAAACACAGTGTCCATCGATGGGATTGCAAGGCACGTCCCCGGCGCAGTTGCATTTCTCCTCGCATTTGAGACCCCATGTGCCCGGCGGACATGCTGCAACGAAAATAGAGCGGATTTTCTGCGTGAATTGCGTACGGCTGTAATTATCGATCACAAACTGTGAAGCTTGATTCTTTTCTTACACTTTCTTCCGTTGTTTTTCTTACTCTCGAGATAATTGCAACCGACGATGGCGCAACGAGCTGGGTCGGCTACTTTTCCGTTTTTTCGAGAAATCGATACGCGCGCGGCGGAAAACACGCGGTGGAATATCGGCGATCCGATTTCAGAAACGTAACAGAACGGACGGGTGAAAATTATTCGCGATTACGGACGGCCGAGCGTGAAATATATCCGCGGAGAGTTTCGTTAGAGTTCGTTCGTTTCGCGATATACGCCGAGCGAATCTGCCCGCGGTTAACGAGACGGTACGCGCGATCGATTGCAATTGAAAAGTTCACAACTAGAACAGTTCTTCTTTCTCCCGTGTTTGTAATTTTTTTTCTTTTTTTTTTTTTTTGGTTTCTTTTTGCTCTTTCGTGAAAGCAAATTTATCCTGCGTGTTCAATGTATTTTAATTTCAACTCTGCGTTCTTTGAATCGTGTTCAGGTCTAATCGTGTACTTCTATTTTCAACGAAATTTTTACGTTTGAAGGATATAGATTGCGTCGAATATTTTGCTTAAAATTACAATATACAAGGCTTTCCACTCGTTGAAACAGAAGAGTCCGATCTAATTATATTATGAAACTGTGAATTTTGTGATTTAACGTTCGATTTCTTCGACATCGATATGTTATTGTTGCTTGAAAGATCAAAAAACGAGAGATTGTTTTATTAACAAAGAAACCAGAAAAATAGACAGACTTACCATTTTGACAGCTTTCATACTGACCGCCGGGAACACACTGACACCGATTCGGTGAGATACAAATCCCTGACGGGCATTTTTCACAGAGAGGCACGCATTTCATGGCTGCGGGCGATGTCCCTTCATTGGATGAGATCGTTTGATAGCCTTCGCAGCATTCGTTTACGATCCTAGTTTTTAGTTCTGTCTGTAAAGTAAAAGCATTTTTATTAACCCACTATGACTCTATATATAAATTGAATATTTATTTGAAAATTATATATTTATCTATTTACATGTTTTGAACATTTTTTTATTTCATTTTTTTATTGTTTGCTTGTCAAGTAATTTGTTTATAGCAGTTATTAGTTCTTATAGTAGATACCTTCATTAGAATGAAGTACTGCAAGTAAATAAAAATTAAAAATTAAGTTATAAATATTTTTAATTACTTTTTAAATGACCATTTTTATTTAAATAACATGCAGCAAAAATTTGCTCTATATATTTATGTCAAAGAATAATTATTGATGTTATATATCTTATTTAAATTGAAATGGTCCTTCCATAGATTCGACGAAGACTCTTGCAGTATACCGATAGTTTCTTTAATTAATTTCATTAAATTCACCTTGACATTACCAGTGACCCCTATGAGAATCTGCTCCCCTAATTAGTATTCGAAAGAAGCATGCAATTTATTCAAACGAAGTAATATAATAGCAGATTCAATGAGCGTCTAGTTTCCAAACTAGTACTGCAGTTGGAAAAGCGATTAAGAAATAAAAACCAGGCCGCCTTTAGCTATCGAACGAGGCAGTTCTGGCAACGTGACTGCTGGATCTTTGGAAAAGATCCCACTCTTTCTTTTTTTTTTTTTTGAAGTAGCTCGCTAAAACGAGATCACCAATCGTCGATGATGAGGAAAACGGAGAACGAAAGCGAGTGAAAGAAACTCCACCTTTGTAAATTACACGCCTTTCTTTTTCGTCGCTTTTTTCTTTTTTTTTTATTTTTTTTATTTTTTTTTTTTTAAAGTTTGTTGCCGACTGAATGAATGCGATAGTTTTAAACATTATTCGCGACCTCTTTGTTTGAAGGTCACACAAAGATGCGACAAGTGCTACTTTTATTAACATTTTTATCGAAGGTTTCGTTGAACTCCTTGTCGAATGGAAGCTTTTGAAAAAATACAAAATTGCAGAGAGTGCATATGAATATATAAATGCAGAGTGCATTATATATATGTAAATACAGTGCTTTCCATAACATTCGGTGAGTGGCAATTTTCTATCAAGACTATATTCCCAAAAATATTTAAATTTGCACAAAAATTCGCAGAATTTACATGACACAGCAAACGTAGTGTTACGAATGCGGATTTGAAAGGGTTACTTTTTAACTTTTATGTCACTTGTCACGTGCCAGAAGCCAACGTGAATACACTCTTCATGAAAAAATAAATCAAAAAAGAAAGAATAACATTTTTTTTTTTTTCGAGAAAATTGAATTTGAAAAATTTTCAGATGTACTTGAATTTGGCTTGTTCTGAACCGAACAAGAGAGATTGTTCTATCTACGAAAATAAGTAAAAATCGAATAAAATTTTATCATAAAAACGCTCGGACAGAATTGCTTTTAAAAATTTATCAAGTACACGTGTAGCAAAACAATTCTTAACTAAACACGTCCAAGGCCTTAAACTTTCATTCTCTTATTGTTTTATTTATTTATTATTATTATCTTATTTATTTATTTATTAAATTTTTTTATTCTATATTCTCCATTTATTTTTGCTTGCAGAATAATTAGTTAATTCCTGTCCAGCTTGGAATTCGCTAAATTCAGAAATACTTGACAAACTTACAAAGAAGTCTCGAACGAAAGAATATGTTGTCCCTTCCTTTTGATTTATTTCCTTCGTGCAGAATTATTCTTCGACTCTTTTTACCACGATTTCAGAGACACCCTCTATATTCAAAATTCTTCTCTTTCTCAAACATTGACGATTAAATACGACTAGATCGACCAAGATCGATCAAGATCAGTTCGAAACGATCATCGACAAATGAACAGAGCATCGCTTAGTATCAATGAAACAATCAGAGCATTGATCGTTCGATATTTTTGTCATGTTAAACGCCACCGTCATAGCTATTGCTTATTACATTCTTTCCGGGAAGGAATTCGCGCGATTTGCTTTGAACGACACTGTCGCGGTGAGATCGTTACGAACGATAAAGTCGATTAACGTCTTACGAGTGACGCCATCGATTCGACACAATGTTGCAATTAGGATCTATCCGTGGAAACCAGGAACTCGTTATGCAATCGAATGTCCTGCAGATTAATAATCATCGGTTATTACGTGTTAATTAAGCGGAGAAAGAGCCGAGAACCGAGTTAAATAGCGAGGATATACAATCTTCATCGCGTTTACGAAAAATAAATTATTATCGTGTTGAAGAGATTTATCTTAACCATAGGTTATCATTGAAATAGTATATTTCTATATTAGATGGTTTGTTATTCAACTAGATACGTTAGATTATTCGAACATTAGATTATTCCATCGTTTGATCATCCATTGGAAATACCTTTTTATTTTCTTTTTAATTCGAATGAATTAAAATTTTATTCAAATAATTTCTCCAAATATTCCCTAATTCTTGTCGATTGCGCGACAGATGTCAGACAATTTGATTCGAACAGTCAAAAGTTGTTTGGAAGTGATCTATTTGAATCTCACGCCACGATAAACTTACTTTTTATTTCATTTCAAATGCAGGGTGCACCCAGGGTTGAATTGTATAAAGTTATCACATAACATAGCGAATTATAAAATTCTATCAAATACGAAAAACGATATCACGCACGTACGAAACAAATCCTGTTTTCGTAAAATTCACGTAATCATCGTAATGATCGTAGGATCATATCTGAAACGAAGTTTAACGGATCTGGAATGAGATCCAAACGACGCTAAAAGTCACGCCATGGAAAAATGAGTAATTTGAAATTCTATCTCGGGGAGCGGTTCGATAATGTGTCAATTAGCGACGTTATATCACGATTCCAATGAATCTTTCGACATCGATCAAAGTTCGTTACTACTACTATTACTACTATTACTACTACTACTCGGTTCAGATGTTAGTTTTGCGTTCTAACGGTAATAGCGTGCCGAATGGATTTCATCTAACAGTGCCACAAGCCCGGGAGATATATCAGTTCGTTTTCACAGATCATTCGAGGCGAGCCAGCCTCGTGTATAAAGTCAATGCACGTGATCCCTCGTTGCACGATTTCCGTCATTCTTGAAAGTTTTATGTACCTATCACGTGTTTCGTTACTTTCAATTCATGTCTTTTCATGAAGTCGCTAAGACCTTGAGCAGCCTTCTTAAGTTTCAACGTGCACTGTATTGCTAATGTATTTAGTTGCCGGTCTTTCTATTAATTGACGATTAGCTAGAAATTTATGATTTAATTGGATATTTGTTTTCAATAAATATCATTACTTACTCTCACACTATTCTATATTATTATATATTATTCTTCTATTCTATATATATATATTTATTTATTTATTTATTCTAAATATATATATCTTATCATATCTATATATATATATCTTATATCTTATATTATATATATCTATATATTATATATATCTTCTTCTATTATATATATATTTCTTCATATGTATATATATATA